ATATGATCTATATATGTATTGTGACATGTTGACCCCTACCTCCCCAGCTGCACGTAGCGGTAACGTAGCGCTCGCGTAATAGGCGAGTAATCACCCCGCATCCTGGTAGCTATGCAACGCGCAACGCGCGGTGACACCACGAGCGGAGCCGAAGTGAGCCGAGCGGAGCCGAAGGTAGCCGAGTCCCCGCAACCTTGAAGCTATGCAAAGCGCATCAACAGCGGTGACGTCACCGAGGGATATCGCGGTTGCTAGGCACCAGTCAACAACTCCGGACAGCGTGGCTAGCAACACAGCACCAGACGGCAATTGTCCGATCGAGGCTACATAAGGAGCAGCGAAGGCTATTCACAGTTAGTCCTGGAGCTACCTCCGAGTGAGTCCTCGAGCTACCTCCGAGCTAGTTCCGAGTTAGCCAGCAACCAACCAGTTGTATTGTGGCATTTGGAGTGTATTATTTTTGATACTGCAGATAGCAGTAATCGTAAATCTGTAATTTGGGTGATTGTAAGTGCAAATGTGAGATAAAATTCATATACCAAATATGGTGTGAAGTTATTTGTCGCGATATATGCCCGATACGTGACAATATGCTACTATTATAGCTATTTATAAAAAAGGTGATAAAAACTTGGTATCTAATTATAGACCCATTTCCATATTAACATCCATTAATAAAATTTTTGAGAAGGTAATGTATAGTAGACTGCTAAAACATTTTAAAGAAAATAACATACTAAGGAAATATCAGTATGGATTTAGAGAAAATCAAAGGACTGATAATGCAATCTATTGTCTAATTTCGAGAATATAAAAAAAAATGCAAGTCAGTGGGATTTTTTGTGACTTCGAGAAGGCCTTTAATTCTGTTAGTCATGAAATATTATTAAACAAATTAAGGTATTATGGAATAAAGGACAAACAATATAATCTATATAAATCATATCTATTAGACAGAAAACAGAGAACTGCCATTCTCAATGGATTAGATAGTGTGCCTAAGTATTAACCAATCCAGCCCGCATCTGAAACGATGTAAGCGAGCCAACACCCGTGTACCCCTGAGATACAAGACTCATGACCCTGAACTTAGCCGAGGCACTATACCGCGAGGAAGTAAAGTGTGTGGGGTGGGTGTAAGTGATATGTAAGCACGACACAAAAGAAAATCAACAGGTTATGGGCCCAGATTTGCTCAAAAACTAAAAAAGGAAAGACAGAAGAAGAATAATGAAAAAAATTGCAACCACNGTGAAGTTATTTGTCGCGATATATGCCCGATACGTGACAATATGCTACTATTATAGCTATTTATAAAAAAGGTGATAAAAACTTGGTATCTAATTATAGACCCATTTCCATATTAACATCCATTAATAAAATTTTTGAGAAGGTAATGTATAGTAGACTGCTAAAACATTTTAAAGAAAATAACATACTAAGGAAATATCAGTATGGATTTAGAGAAAATCAAAGGACTGATAATGCAATCTATTGTCTAATTTCGAGAATATAAAAAAAAATGCAAGTCAGTGGGATTTTTTGTGACTTCGAGAAGGCCTTTAATTCTGTTAGTCATGAAATATTATTAAACAAATTAAGGTATTATGGAATAAAGGACAAACAATATAATCTATATAAATCATATCTATTAGACAGAAAACAGAGAACTGCCATTCTCAATGGATTAGATAGTGTGCCTAAGTATTAACCAATCCAGCCCGCATCTGAAACGATGTAAGCGAGCCAACACCCGTGTACCCCTGAGATACAAGACTCATGACCCTGAACTTAGCCGAGGCACTATACCGCGAGGAAGTAAAGTGTGTGGGGTGGGTGTAAGTGATATGTAAGCACGACACAAAAGAAAATCAACAGGTTATGGGCCCAGATTTGCTCAAAAACTAAAAAAGGAAAGACAGAAGAA